ATTAATTTGTATCTCTTTAAAACAACGAGCAGAGGCATGGTGACCTAAATGGCTTCTGATACGGAGATTCGATGGTTTCCATAGATTTTCTCTGCCAAACTACCTGAACTTTTCACTGTCAGCTCTGTCCATCTGAGCAAAGGATTTGGAAAAGTTTATTCTACGACATTTCTTTGTCACGTTTAAAATTTAAAGTTAATAGTTAACTGCCAATGGTCATTAATTGTTGTATTTGCCCACCAGTCAGTACTGTTCTCATGCAGTATAAATGATGTTCCCTTTTGAGTTGGTATTTTTTTGCAATGGTCCTGATGTGTGCAAGATGAAAAGTTTTGACAACATATTTTATCCAGCATTTCTAAAGATGAAATTATCAATGCTTCATACAGGCCATAGTTCTAATTTCCTGTGATTGTGATAGGATTGGAAGTGGTTCAGGTTTTAAGATTCATTCCAGTCCTTGTCCTGTTTGCGAATAAGCTTCACTCTTGCTATTTTGCATCTGCTGGCATCAGGCAACGTGTGACATCGTAGCCTGGGTGTGGATAACAGCAGCTTGCTGGTGGATGTGTAGGAGCATGAATCTACTGTGTTCTTCCAAACCGCAGTCCCTCCATACCCAGCCTCCAAACCCTCCCTTTACAGACCTGAAGACTGGCTGCACGTTTTGGGTTGGACCTGCTAACATCCTTACTTACCCTGGTATCTCCTTGGCACAGAGGCACCAGCCTTGAATTTCTGAATGGTCAGTCACCTCTGAATACATTCTTTTTTCCACAGAATGTCTGATATTCTGAAAAAAAAAGCCTTAAATCTCTCGCCTCATCAGTACCACTAAATCTGTATTGGTATAATGTCCTGTAGCATAGTTGTCGGATCATCTGTGTCTGATGGTACTTATTGAGAGAAGGATGCTTCTGTAGAGTTGTGCTCTGAAATATTCCACATCCAGCAGAGCTGGCAGATGGGGCTGCAGCTTTCCTCAGTGGAAGGCCAATACCTCCAGCACTGCAGCACTTACCCAGTACTGCACTGCACTGTACTGTCAACCTAGATTACTTGTCCAAATCTTGCCGTGAATTTATAGCCCATTCCTTTAAGTTAATTGGTTGTGAGTTCACTGTCTGGACCAAATTTTTGCTTTATTCAAATCTTTTGGAAAACTTGATTCATTTGAAGCATACAAGATTTTGAGGGGGCTCAACAAGTTAGATGTTGGGAGGATGTTTCCACTAATGGTGGAATCTTGAACTAGGGAACATAGTTACAGTTTAGGGGGGCATTTGTTTAAAACTGAGATGAGAGGGATTTTCTTCCCCAGAGAGCAATGAATGCCTGAATTACCTACCCCAGAGTAAGAGTTTCATAGATTCATACAGCATGAAAACAGACCCTTCCGTCCAACTCGTCTGCACCGATCAGATATCCCAATCTGACCTAGTCCCATTTGCCAGCATTTGGCCCATATCCTTCTGAACCCTTCCTATTCATGTACCCATCTAGAAATCTTTTAAATGTTGTAATTGTACCCACCTCCACTGCTTCTGGCAGCTTGTTCCATACACGCCCCACCCCCTACATGAAAAATTATGCCTCGGTTCCTTTTTAATTCTTTCCCCTCTCACCTTAAATCTATGCCCTCTAGTTCTGGACTCCCTCACCGTGGGAAAAGTGCCTTGGCTATTCACCATGTTCATGCCCCTCATGATGCTCCAGCAAGAAAAGCCCTAGCCTATTTTGGCCTCTTCTCTAACTTGGACCCTCCAGTCTGGCAACATTCTTGTAAATCTTTTCTGCACAAGTTTAACAACACCCTGTCTATAGAAGGGTGACCAGAATTAAGCGCAGTATTCCAAAAGTGGCCTGATGTACCAATGTCCCACACAGCCGTAACATAATGTCAGAACTCCTATACTCAATGTTCTGATCAATAAAGGCAAGCGTGCCAAACACCACCTTTACCACCCTTTCTACCTGCGCTGCACTTTGAAGGTGCTATGCAGCTGCATCCCAGGTCTCTTTGTTTGGCAACACGCCCCAGGGCCCTACCGTTCACTGCACAAGTCCTGCCACGGTTTGCCTTACCAAAATGCAGCAACTCACATTTATCTAAATTAAACTCCATCTGCCACTCAGTCCATCTAATCAAGGTCCTGTTGTATTTTGAGATAATCTTCTTCACTGTCCACTGCACCACCTGTTTTGATGTCACCTGCAACCTTACTAACCATGCCTCCTATATTCACATCCCAATTATTTACATAAATAACAAAAAGCAGGTGACCCAGCACCAATCCTTGTGGCACACAGTTGGTCACAGGCCTCCAGTCCAAAAAGTGTCCCTCCATCACCACCCTCTGTCTCCTACCTTCAAGCCAATTTTGTATCCAATTGGCTAGCTTCCTCCTGGATCCCACGTGATCTAACTTTACTTACCAGTCTACCATTCGGAAACTTGTCGAATGCTTTGCCGAAGTCCATTGAATCAACGTCTACTGCTCTGCCTTCATCTATCTTCTTTGTCACCTCGTCAAAAAACTCTATCGCATTAGTGAGGCACAATTTCCCTTACACAAAGCCATGTTGAATATCCCCGATCGGCACTTGCCTTTCCAAATACGTGTAGACCCTGTCTGTCAGAACTCCCTCCAACAAGCTAGCCACCACTGACACAAGGCTCACGGGGCTGTAGTTCCCTGGCTTTTCCTTGGTCTTTCTTGAATAATGGTACCAAATTAGCCAATTGTGGAGGCTAGATCACTGAAAGTATTTGAAGAGGAGGTAGATAGATTTTTGAAATACTGGGGACTTGAGGGCAATGAAGAGGTGTGGTTAAGACCTGAGGCAGATCAGCTGTGATTTTATTGAATGGCAGGGCAGGCTTGAGAGTTCAAATGACCTACTCCTGAGCTATTTCCTGTAGATATTTTTAATCAACCTGTTTAGACATGTTATCACACCTCATAGATAGGCAGGACTTGAACTCTGGCCTCCTGACCGAAGTTGGGGCACCAGTCACTGTACCACAAGATCATTTTATTTCTTGCATTCTTTTGTTAGAACTGACCATAGCTCAAGGCTTTGCAGCTAATCACTCTGGCTCATAAAGTAATTGAAATACATTTTAATAGACGTCCGCTATAATTGATGATGTTCAGTCCCTCCACGCTTTACTACCTTGTGACAAAAATGTGCCTTAATTAATCCAGACTTGGGTTAGATTAGAAGTGCATGCTGTGATTGAAGTGCAGCAAAAGCAGTATAAAAACCAAGCCGAAGGTTGATCCCTCTGGAGAGCTGTCATTAACTAATAAAAGTAAAGCCTTTGAACTTGCATTTGCTAATACTTAACACTGCCCGAGTTGTGAGATAAGCAGCATCAAGCTGCAACCCTTCTGTCATCGCTTGATTGGCTTTAGAAAAGCCTTGAATGGGCTCTGTAATTAACAGGTTAATCCTTCAATAAATTGAATTGCTTGTCAGTCTAATTCGATTTCTAATTCCCATTAAACATTTACCATCAGGAATATTTAGCCTTTGAACAACTCTAGCTCCGTCTGACGGAGATATGGACATCAGTTATCACTAAGCAAAGATGAGAATGAGCCTGATTCTTAGACATGGATTATGCTGAATTTACTGAATTGCATCGTTTTGAGTTTTGAGCTGAAACCTACCAGTTGACTTAAAAGCTCGCTTTAAGGGGAAAAATAAATTGTGTGCACATAGTGTCAAAGAGATTGGACTTCATAGTGAAGCGTTCAGCTGTAGGTTAGGAAAGTATGAAAATCAAAGTGAAATACAAATATAAGCTGCGGACTACAAGCACTCAGCTAACGTGAAGTGATGAGTTAAGTCCTGGTTCTGCATGTAACCTGTATAATTGTGCTACACTGTCGCAGCCACTGCCCAAAGTGTCCAGCTGAATGCTTTCTCATTTGGGCAGAAAGCTGAAAAGTTGTGAAGAGGAGAATGGGAGTTATATATGGTGTTCTAGCCAATGCTTACTTCGCAACCAACGTTTTTTTAAAAAAAGAACAGGAAAACTGAAACAACCACACCCCTGTTTAGTGGGAGCTTGCTGTGCGCAAATTGTCTGCCAATCTTTATTATACCAATGGCTATATTTCAAACGGTATTTGATTGGCTGTGGACACTTTAGGATGCCTTGATGTCATTAAAAGGTCCAAATAAATGCAAATTATTTTAAATTGCTGCAAGGTGTGAAGAGCATTGGTTAGATGAGGGAATGTGCTTTTTGTACAGTGTTAGGAAATAGCTCCCTTTCTCATGGAAGCTCAGTTGTTTTTACCTATCTTGGCTTTAACTGCACAGGGCTGATTCTGTTCCTGGGAAAGTCCAGTGCAGGGTTCAGACATTTACACTTAAACCAAGTAATTGCAGTATTGTTTTAAACATTGTGCAAAGTATGGTTGCTGATGCTTTTTCAGTTTGGGGAACAAAGCCCCTAAACTGGCCATGGGTAACTTCATCAGTTCAATGTCAGATCACCTGAATCTCTTTCTTTTTGTCATTTTTCCCTCTGCCACTTTACCGCATGCCAGAAAAGCATCATATTTCCATTTCCAAACCTGGCTATTCTTGTGGCACTTGGAAGTGAAATTGCTTTTAAAAATAACTACCCAAGACAGAACACAGTTTCGTCCATGCCTCAGCCATTGGTCTCAAAAGTTGTCTGCACCACCATGAGCAAGCCATGCCTGCATTCTGAACAGGCTGCAGGATGAACTGTGGAAATTTGATTCTGTTCCTTTGATTACTTATGCCCTTCATTTTCAACTTGCCCTGGAGTTGTGTTTTTGGAAAGGAGCTGCAGCTGAAACAAAAGGTTGTAGTGTGATTTTGAAGTCAGCTTGGGCCTGAGTGCCAAAGGCAGACATTACAAATTTAACCTTTCAAACAAAGCTGAAACTGTCATGTGTTTTGTCAAGGTAAAACTGTTACTAAACATCCTAATGAAACTCTTGATTACATTTCAGATGTTTCGGCACACAGACAGCCTCTTTCCCATGTTGCTGAAGACACTTTCTGATGAGTCAGACGAGGTGAGTGCCAAAGACTCTGGGTTTATGAACGTGTGTCCAATGCGTGAATGTTAAAACTTTGTATTCCAGTTTTGAGTTGTTACCTCAATGTGCCCCACCATCTGGAAGCTGTTTGACTCACCAGTCATTTGTTGCAGAGGTGTGTGTGATCTGAGGATTAATACTGACTCCATCTGCCATATTCAGCTCACTGGATTTCATAGCAGAGTACTTGGGAAAACAGTGACAGGATCGGACTGAGTGAGCATGGATTTACAAAAGAGAAAACACGTTTGATAAATCCACTGGAATTTTTTCGAGGATGCAACCAGTAGAATTGCTAAGAAGGTGCCAGTGAATATGGTTTACTTGGACTTTCAGAAGGCATTCGATAAGGTGCCACATCAGAGATTAGCATGTAAAGTGCATGGGATTGAGATCAGTGTTCCCTCTACTTTTCTTACCAACTGTGTGGTTCTCCAAGGCCCATGCATGGCAGCCACTTCTGGAGCAGGAAGTCAATGCTGCAATTGGTGTACTAATGCTGATCACCACGGGTGGAATATTGGAGCTGCGCAGCTTAGAGGGAATATTGATTGGTGTACTGATGTACGTAGACAACTAGTTGGCAGACAGGAATCAAAGTAGAAATAAATGGGTCTTTGTCCTGGTAGCAATCAGTCACTCGTGAGGTGCTGCAGGGATCAGTGCTTGGAACCTAGTGTTTGGCAACATTTTATTATTGATTTAGACGAGGGGTTTAAATGTAATATTTTTAAGCTTGCAGATGACGCTAAGCTGGCTAAGATGACGAACTGTGAGGAGGATGCAGAGATGCTACAATGTGATTTGGATGAGTTGAGTGAGCGGGCAAAGATGTGGCAGGTGAAGTATCATGTGGATAAATGAGGTTATAGGAAGGCAGATGATTATCTGAATGGTGATTGATTGGGAAAGAGAGGTGCAATGAGACCTGAGTGTCCTTGTGCACTAGTGACTGAAAGTGAGCATGCAGGTGCAGCAGGTGGTGAAGATGGTAAATGATATCTTTAGCCTTCATAGCGAGAGGATTCGAGTACAGGAGCAGGGACGTCTTGCTGCAATTGTACAGGGTTTGGTGAGACCACACCTGGAGCATTGTGTGGAGTTTGGGTCTCCTTACCTGACGATGGATGTTCTGCCTATGGAGGGAGTGTAATAAAGGTTTATCAGACTGATTCCTGGGATGGCAGGATTGATGTATGGTGAGAAACCAGATCAGTTGTGACTATATTCACCGGAGTTTAGAAGAATGATGAGGGTGGGGGAATTTCATAGAAACCTACAAAATTCTAACAGGGCTAGACAGGGTAATGTTCCCAGACTACTGGTCATAAACCTCCAGTCCAAAAAGCAATCCTCCACCACCACCCTCTGTCTTCTGCTTTTAAGTCAATTTAAGTCATTCAAATGGCTAGTTCTCCCTGTATTCCATGTGATATAACCTTGCGCAGAGACCTTGAGAGGTTGTGCAGCAGGGAGAGATTACAGAGACAGGGAAGGGCCATTCAGGTATTTGCAAGCCAGGGTGAGAATTTTAATTGAATCAGAGATAGTAGGAACTGCAGATGCTGGAGAATCTGAGACAACAAGGTGCAGAGCTGGATGAACACAGCAAGCCAAGCAGCATCATAGGAGCAGAAAGGCTGACGTTTCAGGCCTAGACCCTTCTTCAGAAATGGAGGAGGGGAAGGGGGTTCTGAAATAAATAGGGAGAGAGGGGGAGGCGGATAGAAGATGGATAGAGGAGAAGATAGGTGGAGAGGAGACAGACAGGTCGAAGAGGCGGGGATGGAGCCAGTAAAGGTGAGCGTAGGTAGGGAGGGGACAGGTCAAAGAGGCGGGATGAGGTTAGTAGGTAGGAGATGGGGGTGGGGCTTGAGGTGGGAGGATGGGATAGTTGGGAGGAAGGACGAAGGAAGGGAGGCGGGGACGAGCTGGGCTGGTTTTGGGATGCAGTAGGGGGAGGGGAGATTTTGAAGCTTGTGAAGTCCAGATTGATACCATTGGGCTGCAGGGTTCCCAAGCGGAATATGAGTTGCTGTTCCTGCAACCTTCGGGTGGCATCGTTGTGGCACTGCAGGAGGCCCAGGATGGACATGTCGTCTGAGGAATGGGAGGGGGAGTTGAAATGGTTCGCGACTGGGAGGCGCAGTTGTTTAGTGCGAACCGAGCGTAGGTGTTCTGCAAAGCGGTCCCCGAGCCTCCGCTTGGTTTCCCCGATGCTAATGTGGTATACTGCATCCGCTGTTCCCGATGTGGAGGCCACAACGGGGAAACCAAGCAGAGGCTCGGGGACCGCTTTGCAGAACACCTACGCTCGGTTCGCAATAAACAACTGCACCTCCCAGTCGCGAACCATTTCAACTCCCCCTCCCATTCCTCAGACGACATGTCCATCCTGGGCCTCCTGCAGTGCCACAACGATGCCACCCGAAGGTTGCAGGAACAGCAACTCATATTCCGCTTGGGAACCCTGCAGCCCAATGGTATCAATGTGGATTTCACAAGCTTCAAAATCTCCACTCCCCCTACTGCATCCCAAAACCAGCCCAGCTCGTCCCCGCCTCCCTTCCTTCGTCCTTCCTCTCACCTATCCCCTCCTCCCACCTCAAGCCCCACCCCCGTCTCCTACCTACTAACCTCATCCCGCCCCCTTGACCTGTCCGTCCTCCCCTGGACTGACCTATCTCCTCCCGAACTCCCCACCTACACTCACCTTTACTGGCTCCATCCCTGCCTCTTTGACCTGTCTGTTTCCTCTCCACCTATCTTCTCCTCTATCCATCTTCTATCCGCCTCCCCCTCTCTCCCTATTTATTTCAGAACCCCCTTCCTCTCCCCCATTTCTGAAGAAGGGTCAAGGCCTGAAACGTCAGCCTTTCTGCTCCTATGATGCTGCTTGGCCTGCTGTGTTCATCCAGCTCTGCACCTTGTTGTGAGAATTTTAAAAGTGCTTGGCAACGGAGTAAGTGCTGGCTCATTCATATTACAGACAGCACCAATTATTTACAGATGCAGCTATTAGCAATTTAAATCCAAACTAAATTTATCTTGCTTTCAAACACCCCAGCAGTTGTTTTGGTAAAACAGAATGCAAAATTCCCTTTTGTTATACTGCCAAAGATATTCACTAAAAGTGTCAGTCTAAATGACTTGCATAATATCTGACATTCTTTCTCGGCTTCCAATGGGCTAGGCCCCATGCACAAGTTAATCATCTTGCTTCTGCTTAGATTTCTGATAGAATGTTCAATTTTTGTATTTTCTCGACACTGAATTTCCTGAAGAAATGTGAATCTGAATAGAGGCCACAATTTGTTGCTGAGCCAGGTTATCACATGAAGGGATGACTTTGAAAGATTGAATTCAGGATTGATCTTCCTTGAGCTGAGGTCATGTCGACTCGATGACTGATCCCAGGGGCCAGTTTTCTCATTCCTGTTATATACCTCCATTCAGGCTTGTCATGTCTCGAGCTGCCAAGGCTAACCTGATGGGTATAGTCAGATACTTCAATAACTTTGAATTCCTAATTTATTTGAGTCTGAAGAAACATCAGGATTGACAGCTGCAATAAGAAAAGCATTTCCATTGCTTTTGTAACCATTCTCTATGACCTTTGGTTGCGACTCATGCTGACCCTCTGAACATACTGATAGCTGACGTGAAAAGTATTGAGGTTTCAAAACCCATTTAGTGTATAACCTGAAACCAGCAATTCTGTTACAGGAAACCTTTCTTTGAGTGCCTGAGTAATTCCTGAACTGCACGTTCTCCAGAAAGTGAGTGTGCACAGTGTGAGTTTATATTTGATGCTTTGTCAGGTGGTGATATGTATTGATCTGGGTAAGGGCGCAGCGTCAGATTTTCACTTAGTCCACCCAGACTTAACATCTCACTTCCAGGCCACATCCCCCATGGATTGGCTGTGGTGTTATGCAGACTGCAGTCCAATCACTAACTTGTTTTCAGTGTTAAATTAGTCTTTTCATGTCATTCGTTTAGTGCAACCATAAGGTTGACATGTCTGCTAGTGTATAACTGGCCTATGACAAAGTTCAGAGCATATGTACATTACAATTACGTTGAATTTACAACATGCCATTCAGCCCTGATCCAGCCTAAGGGGTAAATGGGCCTATTCTTATCCATCTTAGTCAAACTCCATCAACATAATCTTCCGTTCTGTCTCCTTCAGCTGCTTATCCAGCTTCTTAAATATTACTTCGCTGTTATCTCAACTGCCTCCTGTTGTTGTGAATTCTCCTTGCCATTCTCTTGCCAAAGACATCTTTTTTCTGAATTCCTTACTCAGAATATTAGTGACTGTTTTATTGGTGTTTCCTAGTTCTGTCCTCTTGCACAAATTGAAGTACGCTCTTTACATCTACAGAGCCCTTTTTTATAAATTTAATCATCTTGTGTCAGTTTGGATTTTCTTGGGAAGAAGTTGGAAGCCATTGATTGCCAAGTCAGGAAATATGGACAATAATCTCTAAAGCAAATGTTTTTGCAAGAAACTACATAAACTGCAAAACTTTCAAGCTTTGTTAGTCAGTGCAGGAACACTTTGCCTAGTGTAAAGGCCTTATCAGAGTAGGTTTATTTAAAACACCTTGAAATGTTTTGACAATGTATGCTGAATGAGTCTGCAGACTTGACAGTGGCGGATGGATGAAGGCTGTCAAGAGGACAACTATATTCCCCCCCCCCCATCTCCTTTTAAACAGATTAAATGTTTTTTTTAGCTAGAGCCACTAAGTGATGAATTAGACTCCTTTGAAGTTAATTTAATCCGTAGAAATGTATTGAAGGATCAGACATATAAAACTGTTCATTATATGGGTATTGTAGAATTGAGGCATGAATTAAAGCCTTTATTCTCCCTTACCCCCCTCCCTAAGTGTTTAATATGTAGTGCCTATCTCCTAATCCATGGTATAATAGCCGTTTGAGGGTTCTTGCCAAATCTACACCCC